TATATATATATATATATATACATACATACATACATACATGCTCGACGAATTTGGAGGTTGGGGAATCCCAAAAAAAGTTTCTTTTCGGGCATCAATTATTTTCTTGCTTTGGGGCATACGAATTTGGAGGGAAGGAGGCCCCTTCATCCTCCTATTTTAGTAAAATGGTACCCACCTCCTGCAGGTTGGTTTAAAATTAATACTGATGGAAGTTGGAATGTCTCTGGAGCTGGTTGTGGGGGCATTGTTAGGAATTATGTGGGGGGTTGCATTCTTTTTTTCTCCTCCTTATGCGGATTCTCCTATCGAGATGGAAGCTCGGGCTATATTAACTGCTGCTATTTTGGCTCATTATTTAATTTGGAGGTACATCAGTTTTTAATGTGATAATCATACCTTAATTGACATTTTAGATAATGGTGTCGATGCACCTTGGGATATTCTTTGTTATATTAGGAGGATTAAAGGGTTGCTATCCAATGCGAATGTTATTTGGAGTTTCAATTACCAGGAAGGCAATCAACCCGCTAATTGGCTCGCTAAATTAGGGAGTTCTACTCAAAGTTGTAGTGTGGGATCTATTCCCCCTCCTTTACATTCTTTGTTGTTTGGTGACAATATTGATCCTCCTTATATTCACAGGGTTCTTTCTTTTTAAGTCGCTTTGGGTGGCCGTAAGGTTGTGCTCGGCCCTTCCTATTTCCTCTACCATTTTCTTATTTATGTGTTCTTTGGAGACTTGGATTTTGCGGTTTGTGGACATCTATACTCCTCTGTTATGCTATATTTGGTGCAAGGAGCTCCAGGACTCCTCTGCAATTTCTTCTCGGGTTCATATAGGAGGCCCAGGGTTCCCTTTTGGAATTGTTGTTGGTATTTTGTGACATGGAAGTCTTCTCGAGCCAAGGGTTAAGGGGCTCTCAATTTATTTTTGGGAAGCCCTTGGCTCCCTCTATGGGGTTGCAGGTGTTGGATTTTGCGGTGGAGGTCATTTGGAGCCACGGGGTGGGTGGCTTTTACTTCTGCTTTGCTTTACATATACCTCTCATGGTGTATTTCGGTGTGTGAGGAGGCCCAGGGCTCATTTGCTTTATTTGAGAGGTGTTTTGGGATGATTGTTATGAGGGGTCTGGAGTATGGGAGGCACTATTTTCAGTTTGCTTTGATGGTTTTCATGGGTGTTTGGAGGCTGGAAATTTTTAAAGAACAGTGTCATTTATTTTTGGAGGCCCACGGCTCCAATATTTTTTGCCACTATTATTTTTTGGTTGGGCTGTACTGGCTCGGTTTTCTGGATTTTGGTGGTAGTTTTGCGGGGTGCTTGTCTTGCTTCGGGTTGTCTGTTTTTGTTGTTTGGATTTTTGGAGGAACTAGGACCACAATGATCTTTCTTTCCATTTACACTAACCAATGCCTTCATGTTTCAGCCTTTCTGAGATGCAGGTTTTTGGAGGTTGCTTCGTCGGGTCTCTGCCCTCGTGAAGTTGCTCTTCGGCTTGCAAATTTTCTTACCTTGTTGTTTTTCTTATACATGTTCATTTTGGGTATACGTCATTTATTTGGGTATACGTTATGATTTGATACATGTATTTTTTGGACTTATCTCCTTTTGGATGCGTTTTTTATCCTTTTTGGGTAGAGTTGTACTGAGGAAAACGGAACCCCTAGGATGGTTTGTTCTTATTTTATAGAGGGGATCCTCATTTTCTCAAAAATTTTTGTAATCTCATATTTTGAAATTAACACGTAAGGAGCCACGAGTTGCTCTTTCTATCTTTCTATAAAAAAAAATAGATACATGCTCGACGCGCTCGCTCTGACAAATCCGCTCGTAGTCTTCTAAGAGAGTCGCTCGACGCGTTTGCTTCTTCGCTAGACGCGTTCGCTTCTCCGCTCGACGCCTTCGTCTTCGTCGGCTCGCGCGACAGAGTTCACTGTTTTTCCTACCGCACTTCACTATAGCTCAAAGCCGACTACTCTCCGTGCTCTTTGCTCTGATGGAGCCTTCTTTTTGTTTGGTTGAGCCGGACAAAGTCTCTTTTGTCCACGTGGTGGGTAACCCTCAGGTGGAGTCTGCAATGAGATTTTCCTCAAGTTATAAGGAATCTCGTGAGGGCACAGATGACCATCCTTTTATTAAGAATGGAAGTATAAAAGGTGGAAAAGCAACAATCTTTTTCTCTAAATCAGAAATTTCTACCTTGACAGAAAAATTCAAATTTATTCTTATTGGAAAATTTCAGTGAGAACACCCTCTTATGGATGTTATAAGAAATGGTGTTGATGATCTTAAACTAGTAGGCAAGTGGAAAGTGGGACTCATGGATAGGAGACATGTGTTGATCTAACTAACAGTGGTTGAGGACTACACCAGAATTTTTTTCCAAGAAATATCTTAATATAGAAGGCAAATCAATGAAATTACTCAAATGGTCTCCTAATTTCAACACAAATCATGAACCTCCCACTGTACCGATATAGTTTAGTTTATCTGGTCTCAAGCTGCATTTTTTTCACAATCAGGTTGTCTACTGTATTGGAGATATCCTTGGGGATCCTTTGAAACTATATCTGCCTACTTTCAACCTAACCAGACCCTCGGTGACCAGAATACTCGTGGAAAAGGATACTACTTTACCTGATGTTACTGAAGTCTAGTTGGGCACAACCCATAATGGTTATTGGCAACAAATCGTCATGGAACACAAACCCCCATATTGTACCCACTGTAAGATGTTTGTTCATATCCTTGCTAAATGCCACAAACTTCATCCTAATTTGAAATCTAAGGTTCAAGTGAACAAGGATGGGTCTAACCCCACTACTGTGGATATTTTAGTTCCACCTGAGGAGGATACTACCAGACAGGTGTCTGTTGCACCTGAGGACCCCTCCCCCATGATACTGCTGTTACTGTTACTGCGAGTGATGTGATGTTAGCACCTAATCAGGAGAGCCTCGCAGCTCCACTTCTTCAAGGAGTATCCGGTGTAGCGGCAACTCATACTTCACATATTGTAGAACCTATTGTGGGTATTACTGTTGGTAATCTTTCTCCTTCAGCTCTACCCCATCAGGCAGATTCTTCGGAGGAGGAATGATAAGTTTACACTTCCAAAAGAAAGAAGAAGAGCGGAGATTTACTAGAGCTCAGAAGTCTTATGGATGATACTTTGGTTACTACGGGTAATGGTCAGCACCTTACCAATCTGTATGCTGGATCTCTACCGAGAACTAGAACCAGAGGCAAGACTAGATTAGGATGACCCACACTTTTTCAAAGTTAGGGTGGTTTTTAGGTTTCTTTATTTCTATATGTACTCATCTTTAACATTTTTTTGTGTGTGTTATACTGTGTGGGTTGGGTGTTTAGGCCCACCTATACAAACATATATGTATCTTTATCTTTAATATATCAACCCTTGGACTTTTTCATATATATATATATATATAGCCCAGCAAGGAAGCAAGGCTGTGGTTGGGAGCAACAGAGAAGGCAAATGAAGCTTCGCCTGCGTCCTACGTGGACAAGAGAAGGCAACTGGAGGCAAAGAGTGGGATGACGCTTGCGAAAACTAGGGAAGCTTTGAGTCATGCAAACACAGGGGACAGTGCAGCTGGAAGAGAGGAAGAGGAGCGACAAAGGGAACGAAGACGAGAAAGTTTCCGTGCGTAAGTAGAGATGAATCATCTAGTACGGTATGGAACTTCATCCTTGTCAAGTTTGAATAGAAAAAAGGGGTAATGGGGAAATTGTGGCTTTTGTCTTCTTAAGTTTCCAATAAGAGGGCAATGTCGGTTAAGCAGTAGAAGAAGCAAAATAGGCAAGGTTTTAGGGATGTTAATTTATCTTAATTTCTTTTATTTTTTATATTTCAATTTCAGCAGTCAAGACCCACCTCTATGATAAGAAGAACAAAAAGCCCAACTTTTCATATTGGCATGTTGTAACTCATTTAGAAGTGGTCTCGTTTAAAAGCTTCATACAAAATGAAATAAAATAATTCAACTAAGAATGTAATTTCAGGAATAAAACGAAACCAAGATTTTGGTTATGTTTACTCTATACCTTTTTCTGTACAGTTGGTGCGCCTGAGAAGAAAATTTTGCACGTTCTGAAGCCTTCGGGCAGCAAGCAAAGGCCCCCCTCGAGTTTTCAGTCTGATACCATGGCTGAGAAGAAAAAACAAGTAAAAAGCACAATATTTACACAATATTTAGAGATCATAACAACAAGGACGCAAATTCCCACAGAAAAGATTTAACAAATTTACATAAATTACCGAGTGAGGAAGTATTTGCTATATGTAGTGATCTGTCCATTTCTCAACTTAAAAGATGAATTCATATCCATTTCATCCAGAATACCGGTGACGCAATAAATGCGTTCATTGTGAGGTGTATAAACAACAGAATGATGCAACATACAACGGCAAATGCAGCTATTCTTAATCTGTATCAACTGAGTCACACTTTTCTTACAACAGCAGCGCTTGGGATGCTGCATTCCATTCTCCACAAAGAAAGTAGGTGAATTCACACAGCCCCAGTCAATACCTCCAAGGACCGAAGGAATGAGTAAATAAACAACTGCTTCAAAAGCATTCTCCATGCATACATGAAGTGCATTCAAGAATTTATCATAATCTTGATCAATCAAAAGACTGAGAACAGAGACCTGAAACCTTCGAGCTCTAACCACCTGGACCACAAGGTAAATGCTAAGTTAGTGCAAAAAAATAAAAAATCCTAAGCATAGAAAAAAGGCTCAACAGGGAAACTGCTCAAAAAGAGTTTCAAGGCATTAGAAAAGGAAGATGATTTTGTGAATCACATTAACAAATTGTTTGAAATATTTTACCTGATCACGATCAAGATGGATAGAGCCAAAATAATCAACTTCTACTATGACAGAACCTTGAGAAGTCTCAAAATTAAATGAATTAGAACAAAAATCAGATCCTAGATCACACTTTACAACAAGTAATATTTCTCCCTTGAAATTTTCTAAGTCAACTGAACTCATAGAAATCTTGTAGCAATGATATAGTCCAACGCTACAAAATGATGACCATGAACTGACTAGCTCGGCTGGAAAATAGTTATCTTCTTCAAATACGCCTGTTTCATATCCTGGCAAGGGTAAAATAGAGAAATTACGTGCTGAAAATGGCACATGGCAAGTGAACATGCCACAAATAAAATGAAAAGAATTGTATGTCAATAATACATGGTTAGTTATACTGCAGCAAATAAAATATGAGAATTAAGAATTTGGGATTTAGATACATAGTAAACAATTCTTATGTATTTACACATATCACACCGAATTTTTTTATTTACACACATAAAACTCATATCTTTAATATCACATCAAAAATAGCACTATCACCACTTTGTAAAAGTGAAATACACTTTTTCATGCATGAGTTCAAAGAACCAAAGTGCAATGTATGTAAATATGAAGGTAGATGTATAAATATATAATAATTGTGTGCAACGTATTTACATTTCCCTAAAAATTTCTAAGAAATTGAGTTCACCTCCATTGTTAAGATCTTCCATAGCCTCATCAAGCACAGGTACAAGATGATCAGATAAAGCACCAATCTGATGCAGCTTCTTGCAAGCTTCTAGACATGCAATTTGCTTTATCATGCTACATGAACCCTCAACTCGAACAGATTTCAGAGGACTGCTCTTAGGGAGAAGCAAAGTGCAAATGTTTGATTCCTCATCAATTTCGAATCGAGGATGTGGCTTGAAATATCTTAAGAACAAAAGATGGTCGTTAAGCATGTATTCCATTAAAAATAACTAACAAAAGATGAAAACCGATTAGAGAAACACACCCATCAGAAGGGAGCCTTGAACAATAGAAGTATATCAGCGCTACGCTGGAGTTCACATTAACAACAGAGCCTGTAGTTTCAACACGGTATGAGTTATTTTCAATGTCCTGGAGAGATGAACAAGGAAGAGTGGCAAGACTTAGAGCTTCCTCTCGCATAATATCTCCGCTTTTAAGAAATCTTTGTACTTGTAAAAGCGTCTGTGCATCATCCCTGCATAAAACAAAGTATAAAAGTAAAAAAGGAATGATAATGTCATCAAGGAAATTAGTTGACAAATAATTTAGTAAGAGCAAGCATATGAAATTTAAAAATTTTTAAAGTAATTTTGTCGTGACGTGCAACATCCCGCCATGTTACGCGATCAATGAATCATGTCATCCTAATCGCGGGGATTCCACAATATCACAGAAAAAGCACATTATTAACACGATTTCTTATTTTCACCATTTTTTTCTTTCTTGCTTTTAAAGTAATTTTGTCGTGACGTGCAGCATCCCGCCATGTTACACGATCAATGAATCATGTCATCCTGATCGCGGGGATTCCGCAATATCACAGAAAAAGCACATTATTAGCACGATTTCTTATTTTCACCATTTTTTTCTTTCTTGATTTCTTTCCAATTCCCTTACTTCTAAATAGGGTGTTTTCTATTAGGAGACTAATTATGATACTGGAGTTGACCCAAATCCGATTGGGAAAAGTAAAATTTCATTAATCAAACAACAACGAATTACAAACAGGATTCTAAACAATATAGAAAATCAGAAAAACACAATATTAGGCAAGGGCTGGATAGGGTAATCCGCGGATGATGGTGAGTGGGAAGCGGTAGTGATACCGGAGGAAACCCAAACTGTAATAGAAAATGATAATATTATGCTGCATTTCAAAGATTACAACAGGACTCGTTAAATCAGGAAATAAAAGACCAACAAACGCAAAAAACCCCCTAGGGTGAGGACAAGAGGTGGTGGCGCCTGCAGAACAGCAGGTGTGGTGACTGGCAGGTACTTGGTGCCAACAACAGGGATAGATAGGAGGATTGGAGCTGACAAGTTTGGGAAATCCAGCAAGTACAAGGGCTGTGGTCCGACTGGAATTAGTGACTGTGTAGTTGGGAGGGAAGTTAAGGGGTTGGCTGGGTAGGGAGAAATGGGTCACGGGAATGGCTTAGGTAGTGGAGAGGGTATGTGCTGTAGTAATGGAGGGGAAAGGGAGTGAAAGCAGCAGGGAGTGGATCTGGCAAGGATTTACTGCAGTGGGGAGGGGCGTGGGAAGGAGTTACGGCAGTGGCGAGACCGGATGGTGTTGCACTTGCAAGCAGGGGGCTAGGGCTTTGGTTAGGAGAAACTAGGACGTCGGCAACTGCCACCGAAAGACCTAAAAACACATAAAAATAGAAGTGGGATGAACAGGAAATGAAAATATGAAGGCAGGACATTTACCGCCTAATAAAAAGGAGGGGGAGGAGGGGCCGGTTCCGCCCCTTCTCTCAATTGAACCGGTTCGGGTCAAACCAATCTGGCTTTTGGAGGAAAACTCCCTGTGTCATTCTCTTGGGATTGGGGGAGCTTCGACGTCATTCATTGAAGCTTTTGACTCCTTGTGGCATGTCGTCGAGTCCTTCAGTACGTCGTACAAGTAGATGTCGTTCCAAAACACATTTTGATAGAAGAGATATACGTCCATCTATGGCATGACTTGAGCCGGAACTATACCTCGACGAGTGTCCCCATGATTCAAGTATCGCGCCATTCCAGTTGTAACTTATTTCTTCCTTTCCTCGTACTGGGTTGGGAGAGACTGATAAGCTAGTATGTGAGGAGAAATCCACGTTAGGTTGAACTCTGTGCCCAGCTACGCCACTCTCACTGGCTCCTCAGGAGAGATTTCCTCCTTACAAAGAAGACCTGAATCCCATTGTAGAATTTTCATTTCGATTGTTTGTATATATGAAAAGGGGTACCATGCGGAACAGAAAATAATCTCTGAATAAGTCTACGTGATATTCCCTACA